CTTGATGTCAGAGCTCCTGTCTGGCTTTTAACAATCTCCCTGATTCTAATGTTCGAGGACCATCCACGGAGTCTGAGAGGTGACTGCAGAGACCCAGACCCCCCAAGGCCCGTCGACCTTCAGTGCCAGTGGCGGCAGGCAGGCCTGGTGCCTGGGGTCAGCAACTCGCCAAGCACCAGGGTTCACCGGGTGCAAGTGCATAGCTTCCCTTGAGGTCAGCTGCTTCTCTGAAGTCTTTCTGGAAACTTCCCAAGTGCTCAAGAAGCTTCAAGACCATTGGAAGTGGAGCAGTGTGCCAGGCCCCCATTCCCGCCACACTATGGAGTGCTGGGTGCTCTCCATCTACGTGGGGCCGAGGGGGTTTTCTGCCTGATAAGCGAGTTCTTTCTACCACTTTGGGCAAAGGGCTCGTGGGAGCCATTGGCCTCTGTGGGCCCCTCTGCCGTCACCCAGCTGGACTCCGGGACCCTGCTCACCGGCTCTGTCAGACCCCACATTCCCAAATGCCAGGACATGCAGGTCTGTTTGGCGCGTTGTCCTGAGGATGGAGAGCCTGGCACACATCATGAGAGGGGCTTGCTGAGGAGGGCCAGCCTGGTCATTCCCAGCCGTTTCTTGGGCGGTCAGCCCAGATGAGCCCCCGCTGGAAGGAAGAACCTCGTCTGAGTTCACTGGGGAGGGCCCAGCGTCTGGGTCCAGCCGGCAGCTTGTCAGGGCTCGTCCCGGACCGTCACGAATCAGCCATGTGTCTGCCCAGTTAGAAACCGGAGAAAAACAGGATTCAGAGGTGGAAAGCTGGAGACAGGCTTAGAAAGACAGAGGTCGACACGCCGTCAGTGAGAGGTGGAGAGAGACAAACACACGGGGCCTACAATGCAGCAGGAACCCATCAAAAGAAGGGACCAGTGCCTACAACATGCTCATCATCCTCGATATAGTCAGGGAAACGCACGTTAGAGTAGCTGAATGTGCTACTCCACACCTACTAAATTAGCACTCATTAGGGAAATGATAACATCTCATGCTCTGAGGCTGTGGTAAAGCCAGCTTAAACACACTGTCAGGGGCCCTGCAAATTAGCACAGTCTTCTAGGGAAGGAATTAGGCAATACGGCTCTCGAGCTATTAAAATGTTCATCCTCTTGCCTGTGGTAATTAAACTCCTGGGAGTGGGTTGCAAGGAAATAATTCAACAGAAAAATAACAGGCCTGTACATAAAAGGATGACGAGTGCAGTGTTCTCGTCCAACTAGCCTGTCCAACAGGCTATAGGAAGGCTGCTATAAATATTTACACAAATAGCGAATATGAAGACTGTGGTATGTGCAAATAAACAGAAAATAAAAACTATCAGTACATAAAAAATAATACATACATGATCCCACCATCTGCATGTTTGGGTGGCCCCACCCTTTCTGGCGAATGGTGGTCCTTGGCTCCTCACACACTCCTGTCTTCCCAAGGGATCTGCCCTGCCGCTTCCTGTCTGGAGCTCTCCAACCATGAAGCCTGATCCGCAGACCTCAGACTGATGGGGAGACAGTCTCAGCTGAGGCTGCCCACCTGGCCAGCTCACTTGGGTGGCCCCAGGGAGTCTGGGTGATGCCCACTGCGTCACTCCAAGGTCATATCCCAAGAAGTCAAGCCCGAACTGACACAGTGGAGTTGCATCCTTATTTAAGAAAAGGGATAAAGTTTGATTTTGCAGGCTCTGAAGTGTCTTGTTATTTGCAAGCACAGCAATCTGTTTAAGCCAGCTGCAGTCTGGACTCCCAGCTGAAGCATCATGAGGTGAAGGCAATTTATAACAGATGGAAGGCAAAGGGAAGGAGGGCTCATGGGGTCATCTTTCCTGGCCTACCCCAAGAGTAGGCACAGATCTGCTTCTGGACTTGAATCATCCTGTTTCCATCTTCCCCTAGCTCCTGGCGACCATCTCAGAAGCTGGCACTGAGCAGGAATTCAATAAATCGTGGGTGAATAAAAAGAAGGGAAAAAGACCATGTAGTATGAGTGAGCATGTGTCACTGAACAATTCTGTCTTTATTCAAAGACCGTCTGGGTTTGCAAATGTGTCCTTAATTGTGCTCTGGAGAAGCTACACCCCCCGGTGTTTCCCTGCTTACTGCCAGGGGATGCCCGTGCCTTACAGCGGGGCTGAGAACAGTCAGTGACCATGCCTGTGTCCAGACAAACCAAACCTTGTTCATTCGGTCCGGGCATAGTCACTGGGCACAAAGAGGCTTTGTGATAGGCCCTGCCCTTGATGTGCTTTCAGTCTCATGGGAGGGACAGGAATAAACAAGCAGGAGTAATTTAAAGAGCGATCACATGGGTGCTGTACACAGAGGGGCGGCAGTGGGGAGTGAGAAGATTCGGAAGCCGGCTCAGGGTTGGGTGGAAGACCAGGCTCCTTGGTGAGGGTGGAAATGGGGCAGGGCTTTGCGGACAGGCAGGATTTTCTCCTCCATGGAAACCAATGGAGGAGAAAATTTCGAGGAGGGGATGGTCTTCGGGGTCAAGTGCTACAGGAGGACCAGGGAGGATGTGGACCGAAGAGGCTGCTGGACGTGACACTGGGATTAACAGAAAGAGACTTGGGGGGAAAAAAGAAATTTAAAATAAAGAAAGAGACTTGGGAAGGCTCTCTGGCTCTCCAGCCTCTCGAGTCAGCAGAAGCTAGTGGTTACGGGCACAAGCTCTGGAGTCAGCTTGGGTGTCAGCGCCTCTTCTTCCTGGCTGGTCACTCGGGGTAGGTGCCTTAACCTCTCTGTGCTCCCGTGTTCTGATCCACCTCATGCTGGTGTGAAGGAGGCAGGGGTGTTCTGAACAGTGCCTGGGGGAGAGTGAGTGCTCACCATGTGCTGGCTGGTCTCCACTCTCAAGGCTCCTTTTGGAATGGAACGTGTAACACGAATGTCCACCCTTAAATCAGTGTGGGCGTATCACACGAAGATGCTTTGATTTTCAAGACGAACGTGGCTGGGCCTAATCCTGAATCACAGGGCCTTAGACTGAGAAGCACCAGACAGGGAAGCATCCCCAGGGTGTGGGGAAAAGTTCAGAGATGAGAAGGCGGCCTGCGGGTGGAGGCTGGGAAGTGGCTGCGGCAGTGCCGCCTGGAGTGCTCCTGGGGAGGGCCAGGGAGCTCCTGGCGCTCTGGTCCCTCTCAGAAGTGGTCACTGCCGCAGGCAAACAAGCTGGATTGTCCGTTAACAACTGTGATTTTCTGTCACCTCAGGCCTGGCCTCAGGCCTCTGTGCTGCCTGGCGCGCCCCCGAGATCTCTGCTCAGCTAAGGATCAGCCTTCGCTGCCGTGCGGCGTGGGGATGGTCTGACCTCTGCTGTCCACGGTCTGTCATGGCACAAACTCAGACACTGGCACGGACTCACAGGATGCATTTTCTTTTTTCAGCTTTCCGGATAGTGACTCCCAATATTAACATATTTTACACTGTGACAGGGCTTTCCAGGCAGTGCTAGTGGTAAAGAACGCTCCTGCCAATGCAGGAGATGTTAAGAGATCCGGGTTCGATCCCTGGGTTGGGAAGATCCCCTGGAGGAGGACGTGGCAACCCACTCCAGTATTCTTGCCTAGAGAATCTCAAGGACAGTGTCCATAGGGCTGCAAAGAGTCGGACACGACTGAGGAAACTTAGCACGCTGTGACAATACAGAAAAATTTCACAAAGCAATTCTTACCTTTACTATGTGTGAACTCTCTGATATGTTCTATATTTTCTATTTTTTATTTCATGAGTAAGAAAAATGCTGATTACAATACAATAAGTAGACCGCACAGTCCCAGGCTTTCTCATGCATCTAAAAATCCATTCACTTAGGGAACTAAATTAGTGCCTCATTTCCCAAACACTAATCNCCCCCTGATGCAAAGAGCCAACTCATTGGAAAAGACCCTGATGCTGGAAAAGACTGAGGGCAGGAGGAGAGGGAGGGACAGAGGATGAGACTGTTAGATAGCACCACCAAGTCAATGGACATGAGTTTGAGCAAGCTCCGGGAGATGGTGAAGGACAAGGAAGCCTGGTGTGCTGCAGTCCATGGGGTTGCAAAGACTTAGACACGAGTTAGTGACTGAACAAAAAAAAAAAACACTGAAATAAATATTTCATTATCAAAATAAAAAATGTTCTCACACCTCCTAAAATCATCTTACACACCAGCAGTGTCTGCATTCCTTACTTTGGGAATCACATATTCAAAGATTGGTCCAAACATCTCATTTTCAGTGGGGGCAGTGAGGCCCAGAGGGATGAATTCACTTATTGGAGGTCTAGTTTCTCAGTCAGTGGGAAGGTCAATCTGCTTAGGGGAGAGAAAAGAGGAAATAAAGGAATCAAAGTCTTATCAGTCTTAACACTTTTGGAGAGAGGCCTTACCCTGTCATCTTGTTGGAGCCCAGGTATCAGTGTGGAGTTACCTTGGCAGAGCCATTTTAAGCCTGGATCTTAGATATTATCTTTGGAGGTCCTGATCCATATCATGTTACATATATTACAAGGTGTGCCCATTGACCCTTATTAATTTCAATTTTGCTATTTTCTTCTACTTGGATGTTGAAGCCAATGGATTTTTGAAGCTTCAACCATTTTTTGAGGTCCTAGGATTACAGCCTGCTGTGCCTAATGGATAAAGTGGCCCTGGGACTGGTAAAGAATCTCATCAAAGACACACTAAAGAACCATTTAGTTACGCTAGCCTTTCTCTTGGTATCTTTAACGGGTATTGTGGACAGGCCACTGACAACGAAATGAGTGAGTCTGCAGTGGTAAAATCCTTGCTGTTCTGACAGTCCGGGGGGACAGTGCTACTGCAGGTAGGCTAAGTGCCATGTGACTGGCAAGGCGCTCTCACACTGTGCCTCAGTCTCCTTATTAAGTAAAACAAATGGATTAGATTCCAAGAGAGTCAGTCATCTAGAAATCAAGTTCTTGGCTTCTTCACAGTAACCTTTCAACCCGTTTTCTAGGTACAACTAATAAGGAGATCAGGAGCATTTATTGCAGAAAGGTCTGGAAGTATATACACCAAGTTACTGACATGAATTATTTCCAGAGGATGAAAATGGAAAGTGATTCTTTACACATCTTGAATTATTTCATTTGTTACATTAGGCACATTATCACTTTTGTAATGAAAACATTAATAAAGGACAGTTAAAGAAAAGCAAGCACTGTGCTCATTTAAAAACACTGATTAAGAGTGTGTATCTAATGCACATGGTCTGTCACATTAAAAAGAGACAGTAAGCTCACCAAAGACTAAAATTCCAAAGTCTAAGTATTAGTCTATAGCAGAAGTTTGATGAAGCAGAAGCATCAGGGGTACCTCTGGGGTTTTATGACATTCCCCTGGCCTGAGCCCTATTCCAGTGCACTCCCCTGTAATTAAATAAATTAATGTGAGGAATGACTGGGCACAGTGCCTGCCAACAGCAAGTACTCTATCTCCCAATGAGGTCCCACAGAATCCAGGTCTTTACATCCTGCTAAATGGGATAAAGAGCACTAATTGTTGAAAGTAGGCATGTCCCTTCATTCCCAGCCAAGGCCGCCTTGAATGGCTCCACCTACTAATCTGTTAAGATATACTGATCTAGGGGGTAGCCCTGGCCTGCCTTCAGTTGTTGCTAACCAGGTTAACTTAGAAAAACAGGGACTGGTCAGCATCTATCACATCACCTGTTTGTTTCCTTCATAGTGCTCATCACAATAGAAAACTCTTGGTTTGTCGTCTGTTGTCTGCCTTTTCACTAGAATGTAAGCTCCCCGAGGGCCAGGACCCTGTTTGCTTTGTTCACTGCTATAGCCCAAATGCACGCCCAGCACAGAGTAGGTACTCAATAAATATGCCTCCCCTGCACCTCCTCAAATCACAGGTCACGTTTCCTTTCTAAGATTATTCTTGATTGTTGACTTTCACTTTTCACTTTGAACTACATGTGACCTCTATTTTTTTGTGTGTGTGTGACCTCTATTAAAACCTGTGTGCATGGCTACCAGGCACAAGGACTCGGTATGAAGAGAAATATATTGAAACATAAACACAGGCCAACTAATTAATTAAGGAAAGTCTGTTGCTTGCACCTCAGGTTTGCAGCAGGCATTTAATTCCACCGGTTATAATTTGTTTGCTCCTTGTCCATAAGTTTGAAGCAGCCAAGGTCATCCAGTGAGTGAGTGATAGTCGCTGAGTCGTGTCCAGCTCTCTGTGACCCCATGGATTATAGCCTGCCAGGCTCCTCTGTCCACAGAATTCTCCAGGCAAGAATACTGGAGTCGGTTGCCATTTCCTTCTCCAGGTTTGAGGCAGCTAAGGTCATTCAAGGGGCCCCAAATTAAAAACTCACCTGCCTTGGAGGCTCATACAGTCTCTCTTCCATCAGCTTAACACATCTAGAGCCTGAAAACTTTTTCTGCTGGCTTCAAATTAAAATAGTTCACTGGGTCAAAGATTTGCCTTTGGTCCAAGGTGCAGGAGGGTCAATGAATGTTGGCTAAGTTCCGGAACCGCAGCTTGGCTCTTTCTTAAATTGATTTGTGGACTGTTTCCAGGAAACCAAAGATGATCGGTCCACCTGGCAGCAGGCAGGCTGCGAACTGGAGGCGATTCTGCCCTTGCCAAGGGCCATGGCCCTCATGTGGCCCCGAGGAAGGCAGCATTTCATCGGGCCTTTTGGACGTTCTGGCGGGCGGAAGGCTTCTCCCGCCGCGGCGGGCTCTCCACTCGGTGCACAGACGTCTCCACTCGCAGGGACGAGGCCCTGACGTGGCGGGAAGCCGTCTCCGTGAGCTGCGAGCGGGTTTCCGCGTGCTGGGAGGACACCTCGAAGACTCGAGGGAGTCTCTTCCCAGAGGGGGAGACAGAGGGCTCCTCGCTGCGGCGCTGGGTGGTCTCCACCTGCCGGGAAGATGTCCGCACGTGACGGTAGGATGTCTCCACGCGATGGGACGAGGTCTCCACGCGGACCGTCGCCGTCTCCTCGGAGCGGATGGATTCCGCCCGGGCCGGAGAGGGCTTTCCCCGAAAGGGTGAGGCCATCTTATAGGGGTAACGGGGCTAGGCTGACCTTTGGAGGCCCCACCGCCCCACGATCCCCGAAGGATTATTTTATAAGGTGAGGAACGACGTCACATGCCATTGTGACGCAGGCAGAGCAGTGGTCGAAGGTCCCGCGACCCACGTGGAGGCACCGTGATCTTGGGGCAGGGAGGCCTAAGATTCCTTGGGAAACCTGGGTTCGGCCCCTCGAGAGCACCGTCTGCCCCCGCACCGCCCCCCAGCCTGTCAAGAGCCTGTCCCGGTGGAGGCGGGGTCGGGGCGGGGCGGGCCCTGGATGGGCGGAGCCACCCGCCCCCTTGCGAAGCTGTGCCCGCCCCCGCATCCCACACGGCCCCGCGGCAGGAAGGGGACGCCGCGGCTTCCGGACCTCCCCGGTTTCTCCGATCCTGGCTTTGTAGGGCTGCTGGGGACTTAAAGAGTGACTGCTGGTGATGGCCGCGGCCGTCGCTATGGAGACAGGTGAGTAGCGCTCCGAGCCTCGTGTTTTGTCAAATAGAAACTGTCCCAGGCCCAGACACCTGCTTCCCGGAATTTTTTGAGAATCCAGGCCCAACTCCCGGCAGAGTGATCGGAGCGGGAGGGACCAGGGCTCTTCTAGCGTCTGGAAGGGCGAAGGTAATTTGGCTTTTTCAGAGTTTGTTTTGTTGGCTGATCCTTTCTCCCCGTTGGTTATTCAAACACTGGCCCCACCGGCTTCCGGCAAGACTAAAGGAGAGATTTTGGATTATAAATCGCTTCCTCGAGTTGTTTTTTTGCATCTCAGATGAGCTTGCCTAAGTTTAAAATATCGTCAGCGAACTCTTGAATTACTGTGCCACTGACGGGTCTCACCTAAGCACGCGTTTCTTGATCTTGCATACTCACCAGGGTCTCTTTCATCTTGCATTCTGAACATCGCTTGATGGATTTAGCATTTACTTTGCTTTTGCTAAGCTTGATTACTTAACAGCTTGTAACGTATTATCAAAATAAGGCAAGGCACATTGCTGCAGCTTATCCTACTGATCACTGTGAAGTCCCAACATAGTGGCTCACGAGTGATTAATGTTCTGCTCCATGTATGATCTTGTTTTCTTTGATAATGTAACTTTAGATAAACCTTTATTTTTTTTTTAAATCAGGGCGTTGCTTTCCTTAGACTTCTAAGGAAGGTTTTCCTTCTTCCACACCCAGATTAGGAAAACATTTGCATGCTCTTCTTTATGTAACCCAGCATTAGTCAGGTGTCTGTACTGCTGTTTTCTGTCTACAAATCAGTATTATATACAGTGACATTTATTTTAGATGATTTTGCTATCTTCTCTCCTAGATGATGCTGGAAATCGACTGCGGTTTCAGTTGGAGTTGGAATTTGTACAGTGTTTAGCCAACCCAAATTACCTTAACTGTAAGTTGTTGAGCACCTCATTGAATTGAGTAGCTAGTCATGATTTCTGATAGAGGAGTCAAGATTCATAGTCCTGTTGGCCCCTTGTATCCTTGAATGCAACCTCAGTTGGTGGAATCTGCCCATCCTGAGGGTGACAGCACTGTCATGGCACTCTGCTGTTTTGTACAAGGAACTGGAGCATCTGTGGATTCTGGAGTCTGCTGGGTCTCTTAGAACCAACTCCCTGTGGGTTCTGAGGGATGACTTTAGTATCTCGTTTCATACATTCTCAATAGAATGGAATGACTTCTACTGGTATATATAATTGAGCAAACTGGGACTTCTGTTTTGAATTCAGTGTGTGTTGGTGGTGGGAATGTTATGTAAGTAAATTCTTTACGATTATGTTAGTCACAAATGAGTAGTCCAAGGACTGGTGTGCTCTACAGATGTATTTTTTTTTTATGCCTTTCAGTTCTTGCCCAAAGAGGTTACTTCAAAGATAAAGCTTTTGTTAATTATCTTAAGTACTTGCTTTACTGGAAAGAACCAGAATATGCCAAGTATCTAAAGTAAGTTTAATTTTTATAGTCCTAAACGTGTGTGTACTTTATTATACTCCAAAGCACTGATGTTTAATAGACTTCTTAGTTTCACGTTGGAAAAAATGCCTGTTGAATCTCTGCTCTCCTTTCAGTTGCCTCCATTTTAATACGAGACACACTCATCTCTAACTTAATTGGGATTACTGCAGTATCTACTCACTGGTGTTCCTCCTTTCTCTCTGCACTGTCAAACAAAGAACCACCATTTTCTACACAGAAACCAACTTGGTCTCTTAAGAAGAGAAATAATATTCCATTAGAATCCTTTGGTTGCTTCCCATTGCATGCAGAAGAAAATCTAGTCTCTGTCCTGAGTGATCTGTCCCTGTCTTCTCTGACCTTATCTTGTACCACTCCCTGTATCTCACTGAGTTTCTGACCTCAAGGAACCCACAGTCTATATATGCAGGGACAACCATAGCCTGAAAATGAAAGAACATAGAAAGGGGTACTTTTGTAAAGCAAGGGTTTCTGGAGGAGGTAACCTTACCCGAGTCTTAATAGCTGCTTTCTTATTTTATATATCTTACATAATAAATACATGAATTTATCATTCAAGTTGTGCAATAGATACTCTCGTTTTAAGGCTTAGTGAAATGCAAGGAGCATATTATAATCACAAACATGTCTTTTTAATGGTAAAAAATAAGCCTTGAACTCCCACTGCTGTTTTGTCTTAAATAGGTAGTCAAAAAGCATTGATGAAACATCTAGCCTTTTTTTTCTCCTAAACAAACACAAGTTTGAGAGGAGAATGTTTCAGACTTGTGCTTTGGCTAAGCCACTTTTCTCTGTCTAATAACAGCTGATTTATGAAGTCCACATCCTCCTGTTGCCTGTGGGACCCTTTCCAGCCTTACTGGCCCCCTTTTTTTCCCCCTTACTGGCCCTTTATAAAAGAACCACTTATTCATTTAATAATCCAGAGAAAAGATTTTTTTTTTTACTAGATTGCAACATGTCATATGTATGTATTATAGACTTTGTTGGACACTGAGCCCTAGACACCGTCAGTTTCAGTTTTACCCACAACATTGCTGAAATGGTCATCTGTATACTGGCTGGAGGTTTCCAGTGAACACATACTACTCCATTCAGGGGCAGCTAGATTGTTAGCTAGATTCCAGAAAGTTCCTCCTTGTATTATAACATGATATACCTCTGTGTAACTTTAACTCATGTTCTTAGTTTTGTCCCTTAATTAATCCAGAATCAATCTATGCCTTCTTGAAGAGTAGCCATTCAGATATTTAAATTTAAGAGAGGCTGCAAATTAACCCCCATTTCATTTCTGCACAAGGTTTTTGTTTACTAGTTGCCAACATTTAAAGATTGGAGAGTTTTGTATTTTGATCCAGATTTCCAGCTTCTCTGAAATTCTGGAAGATCTGGTAATCCCAAGTCTTTGCTCTCCCAGGTCAGTCATTGTCTAGAGCAGAGGAGCAGCTACCTCTTCTAGACAATTTCCTCCACCGTTTCACTAATAGCCACGACCTGCAGCTGTAGTTTCTCTCTTCCAGTCAAGGATTCACATTGTTGATTTGCTGGGATCTTTATGTCAGATAAAATCCTTCAGTTCTCATTTTCATCAGTGCTGTTAGTTGAGTTCTCCATTTATTTCTCATTTGTTTTTAAAAAAATCTAAATGCAAACTTTGCTTTTGTATCTCCTCTATTTCATCTTGTTGGTTGATGCTATAATTATAGCCTATTAAAATACTTACAGTCCCTTATTTTGAGCGTGGTCTTCTCCAAGTCTTATAAATGATCACTGTTATGTGTAAGTTCCAGTTATTGAGAAGTGCATTTGTTACTTGAAGACAGTCCTCTTGGTTGTCACATTAATTTATTTTATGGAGGAAGAAACTAAACCTTAAGAAAGATTAATTAAGTACCCTGTTCAAGGACACCCAGCTGGAGAATGGGCAGAGCTGGTTTCAAACCTAGGTCTTTGTTGATAGAACATCCTCATGCAAAGGAAATAGCTAGAGTAGGTGTGAGTAGGGCTTTCCAGCCTTAGCTGCAGACAATTACAAGCAACTATGTATCTCTGGCAGAGAAGGCAATGGCAACCCACTCCAGTACTCTTGCCTGGAAAATCCCATGGATGGAGCAGCCTGGTAGGCTGCAGTCCACGGGGTCGCTAAGAGTCAGACACGACTGAGCGACTTCACTTTCACTTTTCACTTTCATGCATTGGAGAAGGAAATGGCCACCCACTCCAGTGTTCTTGCCTGGAGAATCCCAGGGACGGGAGAGCCTGGTGGGCTGCTGTCTATGGGGTCGCAAAGAGTTGGACACGACTAGAGCAACTTAGCAGCTGCAGCAGCAGCACGTATCTCTGGAGTATAGGAAGCAAATATTTAATAAGGAAACATGGTGTTGGGCCCTGCTGTGGTCCTCAGGCCGATAGCATCGGTATCACTTGGTAGCTTGTTAGAAATGCAGAGCTCAGGCTCCACCCCAGACTTTTGATAACCTGGTTCAGCTGGTGGCTGCTAGTTTTCTCTGTATCAAGTTACTTGTTTTTCGCTTTGTATTTAATACCTATCTTGTGAGGGAATGCTTTGAGGCTATGTAAATATCTTGTTTCATATTTTAGTCTTTCACCTAACTTTGGCAATCTATGGAAAATACTTGCTTGAAAGCTTTTTGTGATTTTCTAATTCCATAATTCTTTATTCATTTGTTAGTTGAAATTCAGTTGTAAGTACAGACTGTTTCCTTGTTCTTGATTGTTTATTCATTTTATAAAGTTACATCAGTATGGACTCCTGGATTCTTTATCTTGTGGGTTATAATTATGTATCTTCTTGAAGATCCCGGGTATAGCCAGTGGGAGCCCCTTCAAATTGGCTCCTGTGTACTTTAAACATATCTCTATATTTTTCGAGCATTTCTCTTTCTGCCACTCTGTAATACTCCAGGCTCATCTTGTACTCACCCCGTGTTAGCTGTAGCATCAGCTGCGTCTCCAACCCACCCTGGATAATACTATTTAAAACCCATGATCTGGGTACTCGGTGTGCTCACTGGTCCTGTAGTGTCATTGATTCTAGGCTCTCTCAACACATAAAGCTAGAAATGTGCTGTGTGTATCTATTTCTATATCTGTGTGTGTATAAAGCCGTGAGTTCATCCTGATGTTTTCGATTCCAACTTAATAACAGGATTCATTCTAGCCTTCCCCCTTCCTTAATCTGAAACTACTTTTCTGGGAGCCAGAAGTTTGGCTTTCTGTTTACAGTGTATTTGCTCAACCTCAGAGTATATGTACATAATTTTGGAATTTTTATATCCCTGTGGAAAACAGGAATACAATATCTGAGCATAGTTTTTCCTGAAGTTGACCCACTTTTAAAAGCTGTCTTCTTATCATAGTTTATGGAAAACCAATAGGTATTAAACACATAATTATGAAAATAAAGTGTTCCTGTTCCTTACCTTGGAAATCACCAGAAGAGAATAGTGTGATTTGCCCCCAGATATTGACCAGTTATTGTGTTACCAGTTGACAGTTACGCTGTTTACCAGTTACTGTGTGGTCTTAGGTAAATTATTTAATCTTTCTAAGCTTACATTTTCTCACATTTGAAAATTTTGCTGGCTTTTGATGATTAGCTTTTCTGTATAAGCAGAAAAAAAATGTATTACCAAAGTATACCAAGTTAATGTTACAGAAATGACAGACTGCAAAAGCATGTTTAAGTGAGTTAACTAGAGCGTGGTATTATTATGTCAATCATTAACTTATAAACTTAACCCCAGGTACCCTCAGTGTTTACACATGTTAGAACTGCTCCAGTATGAACACTTCCGCAAGGAGCTGGTGAATGCTCAGTGTGCGAAATTTATTGATGAGCAGCAAATTCTGCATTGGCAGCACTATTCCCGGAAGCGGATGCGCCTTCAGCAAGCCCTGGCGGAGCAGCAACAGCAGAATAACACATCAGGAAAATAAAAAGCTGGATCCCGACCAGGCTCTTAAGACATGTATATATTGCTTTTGTACAGTGAAGGAAAAAAAAAAAAGACTGTTCCTGCGTACCTTTATTATGGTAGCAGCCAGAACTGTTAGTGTGCTTATTTAATTGAACTTTTATTGTTACTAGATTATTTCTGTTAAACCAGAATTGTTTTACTTTGATTTCCCTGTGGATTTGTAAGCTTTTATTAGTATTTAACACAGAAATGTCTGAAGAACAGAAATGTTAGGTGCTGTAGACCTATTTAAGGCAGTGGGGCATGAGACAGGTCTGTCTCCTGGAGCCTTGCTGTCCCTCACATCAGCTACCCCACCCATCCTCTGCAGAGTGATAGTGACCTCTTGACATCAGACACCAGGAACTGCATTAAGGTTTTTAAATTCTACAGGCCGGAGACATACCTGTGTCACGAGCTGCTTTGCAGGAGAGCTTTAAGGAAGAATCATTGGTATGTCACTGACCTAGTAATGGCAGGGAGAATACTGGTGGTTAACTACTAATTGGACTCTTGATCTTGGACTAGAACAAAGGTGAGGAGCCTCAGATACTTGTACTCATTTGAGAAAGCTGACATTTATTTGGCAGATACCACAAACCCAGGCCCTAGGCTTAGCTGCATTCTCATTTTATCCTCAGAATGATCCATGTTCATAAAGGAGGAAACTGAGGTTTAGACAGGTTAAATAACTTGCCTAGGGTTACAGTTAGTCATAATCATTGAGACTGACTCATAGCCTGGAGTCCTTCCTACCACCAGGTTATACAGTCTCTGATCTCTTGGCCACCCACCTCATCCCAGTGAAGCACATCCAGAGAGCTGTAACAACACTGCCAGCATTAGGCAGAGGCTGGAGTAGATGGCGCTGGACTTTCCTTCAGTGGTTAGGTTAAGTTCTACACTGTAAAGCCAAAGGTGTTTTAGGAATAACGATTCTTTGTAAATTCATGGAATTTAAGGTAAAAGATCCTAACTCCTTCAAGATTTGGAAGCTGTCTACTGGACTGTTAGGGTCTTTGAGGTATTTGTCATCTCCACTAATACCTTTGTGCTACTACTGCCACTCCTAAAAACTTATTTTACTTATGGTAGCTTAAAAATACCCGTGTTATTGTTTCGTTACTAAGTTGTGTCCGGCTCTTTGTGACCCCATGGACTATAGCCTGCCAGGCTCCTCTGTTCATGGAATTTTCCAGGCAGGAATACTGGAGTGGGTTGCCATTTCCTCCTCTAAGGGATCTTCCCATCCCAGGGATCGAACCCATAACATCCCCTGCATTGCAGGCAGATTCTTTACCACTAAGGCAATGGAGAAGCCCCAAAATACCTTTATATTAAAGCAAACTTGAGGGTTCAGGAGCATTTTAATAGTGCTCTAATATTTAGATATATACCAATTTCTTTTACATCATCCTTGATTAATTTACTTATTGTTAACATGAATTCAAAGCAGACATACAGTTTCTTTTATAGTAGAGCAAATTTGGAAATAGACACAATTTGCCATCAGCAAATCTTAATCTTCAGAAAACAACATCTCCACAAGGTTGGCCTGAAGACACTCAGATTCTACCAGTTTTTGAGGCTGTAAGAGAAGAACAGTCATATCTTAACCCACGGTTACAAAAATGTTATTAGGAAGGGAATGAGTTGTTATGCTTTGAATGACACAAGTCTTGAAACAGAAATTATCCCATACAGAAACTATCAACTAGTTGTAACAAGTTTTATGAAATAGTTATTTACCTTAAGGTGAATCATTAAAATACTTGGTTCCGTGGACTAAAACAGCAGACAGCAAGTCCAATTTCTCCCCTTCCCCTTAACTCTAATTGAGAATCCCAGGGCCATGACTAGAGGAGGTGCCCTTTCATTTCCTCCAGGATTATGAATTAAGTTGAAAACAACTATTGATGCCGCTGTTTTAAGGAATTATATGTGAATCAGCTTTCTTCAGCAGTGCTTACAGAATTTTAAAATAAGAGTGGCTTTTAAAAGTCACGAAAAAAACCCCAGTATTTGCATTATTAATACGTTATTGGGATTGGCCATAGGGTTGAACGGCCAAGTTGTCTGTTTTGAATGCACTGTGGAGAGCAGTGTGATGTTTGGGATGAAATGTCAAGATCTTTTCAAATTCCAATCCAGAACAAGTGAAGAGTTTTGATAAGGTGAATTCTATCTCCAAAACAGTTAAAGAAGGATACTCACTGTTCCATACTTAAGTAGTGTAGGCACTGCAGTTAATTTCAGGTTTTTCCTGAAGTCATTATTTGGATCTTTCCAACTATTTCAAAAAGAGAAAGTGATCATGAAAAACATTTACTTGGTTTCTTAAAGTCTGCTTGATATTTGATACATTCCCACTTTAGCTGTTAGTAATCATTTTTGTTGTAAACATTTAAAAAACCTTGACGTCTATGACCTATTCTCCTGTGCAAAATTTCATTTAAGTGAATATATACTAAGATATAAAATAAATGTAGAGACAATTAAGTTCTGAACTGAACTAACATCAAGCCAAATTATTGAATTGCCCTTACCTAATACAAATGGCTGAACATTCAAAATTTTAATTTGTATTTAATATCTTTTACTTGCTTGACTTATCCATGACTGAACCTTAGAACTCAGAAGCTGAATCACAAAGGCCCTTCTCGCCTGTTTGCAAGTCTAGTGTGTGTCTGAGAAATAGAAAACCCATTGCCACTTACTAAGGTTTTTCTCCTACTTGGCAGTAGATGAACACACATCCTTCACCAACATGCTTCAGCCCCTCTCGTACGACTGGTTCAGCTTTTTAAAAAGTTGATAAAAATGAAAGTAATTACAAACCAACTCTACAATCAGGCGCTGACAAACAGCGTCCCTCTCCTTTCCCTCAGTCTTGGTAAGTACTTAGACTACCGTGCAGTTAACTGAGGTTAACACAAGTTAGGTGGTTTTTCTTTTCCTTTTTTTTTCCTGATTGGAGAAATCAGAAATCTTTAAAGGGTAAGGTCCGCCTCCTCAGTCCTGATTTGTCCCCAGGCCAAAGTGCCCAGCACAATCAAAGACATAAATCTTTGCTGAATTACGGAAAGGAGACCATCTCACGTGTCCTGCAAGACACTAGTCATACTGGGGAAGTGAAAAGTTCTAAAGCACTAGATTCCAAGATTACCTGGATCGAATGATTAGAAGAGCACTTTTGGCGGGGCGTGAAGGTCTTAATATATTGAGGAGAGTCGGAACAGGGTAGGAAAAGGCAAGAGGAAAGCTCAAATCGCCCTGCAGGACTCCGGGAGCAAGACTTCCTCCGCTTCCCCTCCACCCGGCTATCTGGCTATAACCTCGGCCTTCCAGCCACTTCCTCTGGGCAACTGCCTCCCGAATCCTGGCCTCACCCTGCACGCAGTCGGGGCACCAGCTTTTCCCTTCGGCGTCCTTAGAACCAGAAAAGTAGGCGAAAATGGTCTTGCCACTGTGCTGCTCCACCACCTGCATGAAATCCTCGTAGCCGGACACGCTCACCTCCTCGTAGCTGGCCATCGGGAAAGCGTGCTTCGGAACGCTAGCGGTGTCTCGGGTTCCGCCACTGAGGGGTGGGGCTCTGGGCGGGGTGGGGCGAAGCAGCTTCCGAATGGGCGGGGGGTAGGGCCGGACCTGGGGGAGCCCGCCCGGCTCTGCGGTGCTACGGGATCCTCTGAGGGCCAAAACTCCTCCGCACAGTTTCTCTGCTCTGCTTTGTCAGGTCTTTCTGCGCCGGTGGCACCCCGAAACCCCGGCTTCTGCGCCAGTCTGGTCCCGCTTCCAGCCCCATATGCAGTGGCTGCAAAACGTGCCGCGGCGCAGTCCCTGAGTCCTTTGGTGGCTCCGGAGCTTTAACGGCTCCCAAGTTGCCCTGCGCCTGTTGCTATGGCGACTGGGCCAGCGGCCGGAAGCGGGGCCTAGTCGCGACCCACCCCCTGCCGGGTTCCTGGTAGCCGCGCCGCTCCCCAGGCCAGGTGGGCTCCGGCTGGAGCTGGGGGGATTCTGGGAAGCTGCGTTAGGAGTCCGGGATCTGAGGGAGAGGAGACTTTGACCCGGGGCGGATCCTGCCGCTTGTCGGCACTAGTTACCTTTTCTTTCGCCGAGGCTTTAGTTGGGGGCGGGCGTCCGGGACTGGGCGGGGGTAGGGGGCTGGGAGGGAAGAAGGCTTGCAGGGCTGGAGCTGAGTGTGTGAGAGCCCGTGTGGAGCCTCCCTCGGAGCTGGTGCTGAGACAGAAAGTGCCCCGGGGCTGCGTTGGGAAGGCGGGAGTCATCCTGAAGCGATGAGTGGGGCGGCTGGCCAAGGGGCCTTGCCCGGGCCGGGTGTGCGCGAGCTCGTGGCGGAGAGACTGGGCCTATGCGTGGGACCCAGCCGGTACGGACGCGGAGTCCGGCGGCCGTGGGGAAAGAGATGGGGTGCAGAGATGTTCCGAGGCCGTGGAACTAGGCGCCGGGCGAGGTCCTTCGTGCGGGAGACGCGCTGCGTGAGTGCGGACAGGCTGCCGAATCGTCGGCGGCCTTGGGGGAGAAGACAAGCAGCGGGAAGAGCCCAGGCCTCGGAGAACGAGGCTGCGGGAACACCTGGCCCTGCAGGCTCGGTGGAGGCTGCACGAGACCGTGGGACCGTGTGGGTAAACGGGGCTGTAGGGGAACCGCAGGTGGTGGGGCCTGTCGGCTCTGTGTGGGTGACTGGCCCCGGGGAGGAGGAGACGGTTTACAGGAGCCCCCGGGGCTGTGAGAGGAAAGGTCGTCCGGGATCCGTGGGGCATGGGAGCATTCTGGAACTGTGGTTGAAAGTGCAGGCTATGAGGGCAGCTTCAGGTGGTGGACAACGAAGCAGAGTCGAGCTCCATCCTGTGCCCGCAGGAGAGGGGCCGGTTGAAAGGGGGGTTCCTGGTCGGGCTTCGTGGGTAGAGACCAGCCGTGAAGGTCTCACCGGACCGTGGGTGAAAGGACAGGCGGGGGCAGCCCCCCGGGGCCGGGGACTATCCATCCCTCCGGGCCCAGGGGCAGGCCGTGAGAGGGCCATGGGCTGCTGTGGGCAGGGCCAGGCTGTGAGGATGCCACCTGTGGCTGAGCCTGAGACTCTGGAGGCAAGTTCCGGGATTGCCCCACAGCTGCCCGGGAGGGGACAAGCTGTGGGGGTGCCTGGGCCCTTGGAGGGGATTGGCTATGGGGTTGCCCCCAGCTCTTCAGCAAAAGGACTGACTCTGCGGGTGCCCGGGGCCGCGGGGTGGCCTGAGGCTGTGGAGGTACCCAGAGCTGTGGCGGGAGAGCTCTGCTGTGGGGGGGCTCCGGATCCTTGGGGGAGACAGCGGGCAGCACAGGTGCCTGGGGCTCTGGCACAGGAGGTGATCTGTGGGCACACCCCAGGCTTGTGGGGGAGAGGGCAGACCACAGCTGTGCACAGAGCGGCCCAAGGGGACACTCCCTCTGTGGGTGCCCCAGTTGTGCAGCGGAGGAGACGCGCTGTGGGGGAGACAGGCCCCAGGGCTCTTCCTGGCCTGTGGGGCACCAGACAGCCTGTGGAGGTGCCTTGTGCGATTGAAGAGGGAGTGCGATATGGGGGTGACCCGTGCTTCAGGGAGAGGGGACAGGCTGGGTGGGCAGAGACAGGCTCTGGGGGAAACTCAGGATCCTGGGAAGCTGCCCAGACTGCAGGCTGGGCAGTGTGTGGTCCCGAGGAGCAGGAAGCAGGCCCTGGCAGTGTTCCAGGCCACTGGGGTATAGGACAGGCTACAGGGGTACCTTGGGCTCCCAGGACGGAAACAGGCTGTGGGTGTGTCCTGGGTTTGTGGGGAACACAGCAGCCATTGGGGGTGTCCCAGGCGGTGGGATTATCAGGGACCGGAGGAGTGCAGACCAGCTGCTGCTGTGTCCCGGGCCTGTGGGCTAGACAGGAGGCTCTGGGGGTGCCTCTGGCTGAGACAGTGCCAGCCGTGGTCAGAGAGACCTATGGTGGGAATGTCTTGAATCTCCTGGAAAGGAGGCAGGCTCTGGGGGAGCAGGAGGCTGTAGTGCCCGCTGCTGTAGGGAGTCCTGGGTCTGTGTGTCAGGAGACTGGCTGTGGGGACGCTTCCTGTCTCTGCCTGAGGAGCCAGGCTGTAGGGCTGTCTGAGCACGTGAGGGTGCCGGAGACAGCTGGGGTATCCAGCTATAGATGTGCGCTAAGTCCCGGGGGTGAAGCTGCCCGGGTGCCCGCCGCTGTATGGGTGTCTGACTCTGTGGGTCAGGAAGGCAGCTCCAGGGAGGACTGGAACCTGTGGGCAGGGGTTCATGCTACCGGGAGACCCCCGGCTTCAGGGATACCCACGGCTCCCCAGGAGCTGGGGTTGGCGGGGGAGGATGCTGGCTCGTGGGGAAGGAGACAGAGTGCCAGGGTGCCCATGCCTGCTGAGGTGCCCTGGGCCCCTCGGGTGTGTGCTCCTCTGGGGGTGGAGACTGGCTCTGGAGGGTTCTTGCACTTGCCAGGGGGGAGACAGACAGCAGGAGTTTCTCTGACTGCAGGGGTGTCTGCAGATGTTGGGGTGCCCGTGGCTCTCAGGGCGCCTTGGCCTGTGCAGGAGGTGGCTTGTTCTGTAGGTGTCTCAGGCTTATGCGGGGAGAGAGAGACAGTGTGGGGACCTATGGATGCCATGGATCCCATCAGAATGGGGATGCCCACCACTGCCAGAGTGCCTGGGCCCATGAGTGAAGAGATGGGGCCTGGAGGCATCTCAGGCTTGGCGGGAGGGAGACAGTCTGGGGGAGCATGTGTGACCATGGGGCTGCACACAGCCATGGGGATGCCAGGGCCTGTGGGGGAGGAGATGCTCTCTGGGCATTTTTCGGGCTTATCTGGAAGCAGACAGACTGCTGAGGTGCCGGTGGCGGCTGCCAGCATTTCCCTGACGGTGGGGGTGCCCTCAGCTGTCGGGGCCCCTGGGCCGCTGGTGGGCGATGTTACTTCTGGGGATGGCTCAGGTGTATGGGGAAGGAGACCCGTGACTGAGGTGCCCGTGGCTGCCAGGGCTTCAGGACTTGTGGACGGGGAGACTGGCTCTGAAGGCGTTGCAGACCCATGGAGGAGACCTGACAGAGCCGTCCCTGAGGCTGCGAGGGTGCCTTTGTCTTTGGGGGTGCTTGCAGCCGTAGGGGTTCCCATGGCAGGGCCTGGCCCTGCGGCGGTGTGGGTGACTGGGCCTGCGGGAGAAGAACCCAGGGCAGCTGTCTCTGACCTCGCGGGGGTGAGGAGACAGTTTGCAGAGGGCCCTGGGGCTCCCCCCATAGGGGAGATCGGAGGTAGAAACGTCCTGGGGCTGGGGGGGAGGAGCCAGCCAGTGGGGGTGTCTTACACCTGTGGGCACGGGACCAGATTATGGAGGTGCCTGAGGTCAGCGGGGGGAGAACTGGACTATGAGAACATGCCAGGAGTGTCCAGAACAGGTGGGACTGTGGGGGAGAATGAAGCTGAGGAGGTGCCCCAAGAGTCGCAGGAGGAGACAGACATCGGCCTCGTCAGAGATCACGCACGGCAGGGTGGGAGGAGACAGGCTGGAGGAGAGTCTGCTGTCAGGGCGGGGGGAAACAATTTGGGAGACAGTTTTGAAGGGGAGGACAGATTGAGGGGGGCATTCCACTAGTAGGGATGGCGTTGGGGGATCCTGGGGCTCTTGGGGAGGGAACAGGTTGGGGAGAGATTTGTCCTGTGGTGTAGGGATATCTTGGGGTGGAGAAGAGAGGCTTTGTGGAGACACCTCACCGCATATGGGATAGCATATCGGGAGATTTCCTGGTGCAATGGGAAAGGGACAGGTTGCAAGGAGAGCGAAGTCCTCTCCTTTTGGGAACTTTGTGTTGGGGAAAGGTTTGGGGCCGGTGTCCCTGGACTTTGTGTGTATGTGTTTGTGTGTGTGTGTAGCATCACTTGAGGTATTCTGGAACTGTGGGATCATCTAGTTTTTTCCTGTTGGAGAATGGACCCATAGGCCTTCGGTATCCAGCCAGGGAGTACTGACCTTGTAAAAGTCCCAGTTGCTGAGAGCTCGACTCTGCAGGCTCCTTCCTCCTGCGGCTCCAGCCCCCGAACCATGATGACATCAGGCCAGTTGGGATGGCCTCACTCGTGTTCCTCCTCCTATCTTCGCTTTTGAGCGTATCTCTACAGCCTTAGAAACAAGGAATCTTTATATTCCTACCGTGTATCAGTCTTTAAGCAAATCCAGTCTACAATCCTTGGCTTTATTCAAAAGTTTAGGGAAATCCTGAGTTTCCCAGTTGAATTCCTATTGAATTATTTAAGAAGACAAGCTCTCCCCATACATTTAATGCTGGTCAACTTATGGAAAATCTGCTTAATTCGACAAATGTTGAGTTGAATTGTCTACCGTGCTCAAAACACTGTGTTGGGGAAAATCTCAGAGAAGCACATGACAAGGCCCTTCCCTCAAGGAACCTTGTCTAGCTGGGAAGATGAGACAAATACCTGTGAAATAGATAAATAACAACACAAGCAAATGGGTGAGTACAGGAGGCGTGGTGTCTATAAGGAAGCATTCAGAATAGGGAGAGGCCCTCGCATGTGGTTTATAAAACACTTGCCTATCTTTAGACAGCTGTAGGGTGGTGGGGGTTAGGGTGAATCTGAAGATGTACAGAGGCCATTCTGCTAGTTCCTGGCAGAGTCATTCAGAGTTAGAATCTTTTGAGCTATCTAGAAGAGTGAAGTGTACTGCTTTTTGATTGGTAGTTAGAATTTATTAACGTAGACTATATCCATAAAACTTCCTGATGGAAAGTGTTTACCATAGAAGAGCTCTGTTTTTGGAATAACATCTTAATGGTGACCCTTGAGATGTGAAATTTGGGAGGAAAAGGACTCAAGAAGTAGTCATTAGGCTAATTGTCATTGTTTAGTTACTCAGTCATGTCTGGGACTCTGCGACCCTATGGATTGTAGGCTGCCAGGTCCCTCTGTTCGTGGGATTTCCCAGGCAAGAATACCAGAGTAGGTTGCCATTTCCTTCTCCATCGGATCTTCTCAACCCAGGAATTGAACCTGCATCTTCTGCATTGGAAGGCAGATTCTCTACCACTGAGCCATGAGGAAAGCCCAGGTCATTAGGCTAGTGTGTACCCTATTCTCGTGGAAGGTAGACTTTTCAACAGTGTAGTTGCTTTAGTATATGAAAGAAACCATCATATACCTGTCTTTAAGCTTTCTCTCTGCAGTGTGAGGTTGCTATGGACTACTAGAATATTCTTACATGAGCATAGCATTGTGTTTTACATAAGTGTTTTACATAAGTAAAACACAGTGCTTTCACTTTGAAAAGGTTGGTCTAAAAGTACTTTCTCTTATGTTAGGCAATGATTTTAGAGGAAAACTGTTGGCCAATGACTGAGCTTTCACTATCCGTCTACACTGTCTGACACCATGGGACCAGGCAGACCAGCCTCAGCCTGTGTTCATCTAGCATCTGATGTGCAACTCGATGGGAGGAGTGACCCCAGGAAACTTCAGACCCAGGTAGTTTCGTTTTGTTTTTCTCTTCCGATTTTTGTTGTTACGAAACATTTCAGAGAAAGAGAAAAGGACAATGAACACGTTTTAAATCACCTTTTAGATTTAAACATTATCACGCCTAAGAAAATGGAAAAAAAAAATTCCCTCATATTCTCTAATAATGTCTTCTTTCAGCTTCACCCACTTGTCCTCTAAATGTCTTTTTTGTATTAATGAAAATCCTCACACATACAGCAAGCTGCATTTTACAGTGAATATATCTGTCGTTTAGTCCATGCCTCTAGAATCCATTCATCAATCCATCTTACTTTTGGATGCATAGCAAAAGAAATTGCAGGTGTGAGTACCCTAAGTACTTGTGCATGCATATCATACACTAGAATTCTTTCTTTGTATACTGTTTTCTTTTGAGGTATATTTTGCATCTTCAACAACTACATTGAAATGTATACATCTTGTCATATTTGCTAAGTTTTGACCAGTGTGTACACACACACACACACACACACACACACACACACACACACGTATAAATCATATCTCAGATACTGATCATTTCCATTACTCCAGAATGTTCTCTTGTGCTCCTTTCTAGTCAGTCCTGCTGCCTACCCTTCACAGGCAACCACTATTCTGTTTTTTTTTCACCACAGATTAGTTTCTGTGTTCTAGAACTTCATGTACACAGAATCATATACTATGTAGCTTTGGTGTGAGGCTTCTTTCACTGGGTACAATGTTTCTGAGATTGATCCACCTTGTTGCATGTATCAGTAGTTACTTTTTAAATACTGAGTCCTGGAGACCTGGGTTATTTCTAGTTTAAGCCATTGTGAGTGAAGCTGCTACATTCTTATACAAATCTTTTTGCAAACATGTTTTCATTTCTCTTGGGTAAATACCTGGGAGTAAAATTACTGGCTCATAGAGTAGGTGTATGTTTAGTTTTAACAAAGCAACAGACTTTCCCAAAGCAATCTGTATCATTTTATGTTCCTACCAGTAATGAATGAGAGCTCCAGCTGCTCCACATCTTTGCCAGCATTTGGTGATGTTTTTTAGTTGTAACTATTTTGGTGGGGGTGTAGTAATATGTCAGATAAAATTTTGACTTAATTTCAGATTGACAGAGAAGTTGCAAGAATGGTACACAGTGTTCCTGGATACTCTTCTCCCAGATTTCCCAGATGTTAACTTTTTATTACATGTCCCCTCTCCCTTTCTCCCTCCCTCCTTCCTTTTTCTTTTCTCTGTCTCGCTTCATATACAGACGCGCATGGGCACGCGCGCACACACACAGTTGTTTTCTGCACACACACACAAACACATGCAATTGTTTTCTGAATGAATTAAGTTAAGGACATGATATCCTTTTGCCCCTAAGTACTTGTGCTTGTATGATCATGGTATAGTGATCAAAATCAGGAAATTAGCATTAAAATGATGCTATTGTGTCATCTACAGACCTCACTGAGATTTTGTTAGTTGTTTCAATAATGTCCTTAATAGTGAAAGAAAATCCAAAATCATGAGTTTTGTTACGTTTCTTTAGTTTCCTTTAATCTGAATGATTTCTGAGTCTGTATTTCATGACATTGACATTTTTGAAAAATGGAGACCTGTTACTTGAGGATTTCCTCTCAATTTGGGTTTGTCTGGAATTTTCTCATAGTTACGTTCAGGTTGTGCACCCATAGTGGGAAAACCACTGAAGTGATGCTGAGTTCTTCTCAGTGCATCACATCAGGAGGTACATAGGTCAATTTATTCCCATTACTGACCATGTTCACTTTTATTGTTTAATGAAGGTGGTGTCTACCAAGTTTTTCATTGTAAAGTTATTCTTCTACCTTTTGTAATTGGAAGTTTCTGTCTTTGAGACCATGTTAATATCCTTTTACTTCCGAGACTTCATTTGCTTTTAGCATTCATTGATGACTTTTGCCTGAATCAGTTTTTGTTATGACAGTTGACAAGTGGTGATTTATTTATATCAGAGGATACTTTTAGCATTTTACTTAATTCAATATGATATTCAAATGGTCTCTGATTTGGTCAGTGAAGTGAGAGTCACTTCAAGTTGATTCCAGTGTCCTTTTCACATTGCCATCCATCTTTGACCACTTTTTGGTATAAAAAGATATGCCAGGCTCAGCGTATTTTGCCCCTTCCCAGCCATTCTTGAAAGCAGCCTCATCCCTTTGGTGGTGAACGGGTTTTAGAAGTCACTGTCTAGGTGCTGGACATGCTCTTTGGTTCTTGGATGTCCGTGTTTTGTCCTATGCTGTCCCTGAGGACAGAGATGGGAAATAGCTGTGTACATTCGTATGCCCGAACACAATTCATATGCAGCTTTGCACTCACATCTGCATCCCCTCCTCCTTCCTTCCCCTCTCCTCTTTCTTACTCCCTTCTTTCCCTCCTTTCTCTGTGTCTGTCTGCCTGCCTATCTGTCTATATTAAAACCCTCTGAGTACACATAGGTATCTCCAATCCAGTCCAACACTTCCCATCTGTAACTCCCATATTCAAGAGTAAAACCTGTTTCCAGTTACCCACAGTGTGTGTACTCATTTGCTTAATCCTAGAATGTACAAAAGTGTTTGAAAATTGCAACCCATGCCTCTGCAAAGAAAAAGAACACTGCAGATTAGAGTTCAGTATTTGTTTAGAGAACTTGTTGTCTTTAGCCTAAGGGCAGATAGTCCAAATGCTATGTTCAAAAGTTGATTGGGTTGATTTTTTTTTTTTAAACCCTTACTTTTTAGTGTGGTTATGTTAGTCTTTTGAACTTCAGTTTGCTTCATTGGTTTCTGTTAGTTCTCATTTTTAATGTTTTCCTTCATCCTTCTGAATTTTGTTTATTATCTCTTTCCCCTTTCCCTCTCTTCTTCTCTTCCTTTCTCTGCAGTGTATGTGAAACATTAACGTGATTCCAAATAAATTTATGCAGAAAAGAACATTCAGTGAAATATTACCACCCTCCACCCCCCCAACCATTCCCTCTGTCCTTTCCACCCAATTCCTCCCCATACCCTGTAGATACCTTATCTTATTACTATTTGATTTTTCTTTCCTATGTTTCTTTTTGCACAAGTGATCAGCTGCATGTGTCCTTTCTCATGAACTATCTCTCCCCTCTTTTTGAAGGGTGGAATAACCTGCCAATACAGGAGGCACAGGAGGCGTGGGTTTGATCCGTGGGTCAGGAAGATCCCCTGGAGAAGGAAATTGCAACCCACTCCAGTGTTCTTACCTGGAGAGTCCCATGGACAAAGGAGCCTGATGGGCTGCAGTCCATGGGGTTGCAAACAGTTGGAAACGACTGAGCACACGTGCACACACGTATTACAGATACTCTTTTTTGCACGTGTTCTTTGCACTGACCAGCAGACCTGAGAAATCCCTACATGTGGGTTCTTGCACATCTTCCTCATTCTTCTTTACATCTTCATGGTACTCCTCTGCGTGGGTGTACCGGAGACTGAGACATGCTTTTACATGGGCATTTAGGTCAATTTCAGTGCTTTGCAGTTGCAGACAACACATGTATACCCTGTGCACAT